TCTTCCTCTTTGGTGGCTTCCGCACACCCCTTCGTGTATTTCGAACAAGAATACTTCTACTTTGCTGGGGTGGACACACTTTAGATAAGGTCCTGAGAACGACTTTTTGTACAATGCCATAGATGAGGAGAGCCAAAATTGCTGCGACTTTGCTCTAATTTTGTTGGCTTCTTTCTTGTCTTTCGGTAAGACGCCGTCTTTTAAGAATAATATGATGGAATCCATCCATGAGGGGCCTAATTCGGCGCAACATACCTCTTCTACTTCGGGATCCTCAATGCTTGGTCTCGGTAGGTAGTCAATTAGTAGTGGGTGAGGGATGGATGTATCTGCCATTGACGCAAAGCCTGTTAGTTCGTCTGCTCTGTTGTTTTTCTCCCTATCAATCTGTTCTATTCTTACTACTTCAAATTTCTTGATCTCTATTCTGACCAATTCTTGGTACTTAGCCATCTTGTCATCCTTTGCTTCATAGTCGCCAGAAATTTGGTTTACCACCAGCTGTGAGTCGCTGTAGACCATTAGTTCGGTGGCCTTCATGTAAAATGCTGATTTGAGTCCTGCAAGAAGTGCTTCATATTCTACTTCGTTGTTTGATGCTGGGAAGCCAAGGTTGATTGCTTGCTCCACAACCAGGCCGTCTAGTGAGATGAGGACTATGCCAAGTCCTGCACCATGCCGGTTGGATGCTTCATCCACAAAGAGCTTCCACATCTCTCCAACGAACAACTTCCAGCAAGTGGAGGGGTCAGATGATGCCGTGGGGTCAGGGATGTTGCTGGTGTTCTCTTCAAGGTCCATACTGGCTGTTTGCCCCTCGCTATCTGATTGAACCAAGTCTTTATTTGTTGGTGAGTCTTGGCTTGGTGTAGCATGGTTCGCTTCAGTCTTGATCTCTTTATTCTGGTCTGTCTTGGGGTCCGACTGAGTATCCTGCACCATAGACCCAGCCATCTTCTTTATTAATTCATCTTGCTCCTTCACGCGGTCCTCCAGAACTTGAGGATCAATCCTCCGCCTTTGTCTGTCAGGACTTCGTGAACGAGAGTGACGGGGGCTGTTAGTCCGCCTCCTCTCCCTTACATCCCTCCTGGGATTTTGTCGCTGTGGCTCCAAGTCCGCCATGGGAGGGATAGAAGGAAGGCCTTCACGCCTTGCACCCCCCTCTGGTGTTTGTCCGTCGATGGCGGACTGCGACAAATCTTCGTTGTGCGTCATTGCTTCTAAAGAGGAAAAGCTTGATCAAAACCTCTGAAATTCCCACAGACGGTGCCAATTGTACGGGAAAGAAATAAACCTTCTCGTATAATCCTGTTGATTAAGTCAGCGCTCCTCCGTACGTCGTCGCTTTATTCCCTGAAAACACAAACGTAAGCTAGCCGGCGGACGTGTGCCGGATACCTCTCCGATGCCTAAGTCAGCAAAATAGACAAAGATAAAAAAGCTCTGTGTATTTGAGAATCAAAGTTGTGTGTTACTTCTCTATAGGTGATGTTGTAAGCTTTTATAGGTTCCGCGTGGCACAATCCTAGTAGGACTTTTACTCCTCCATGTAGAGTCCTCCTAGGATTCATATTCCTGAAAGATAATACTTGTCCTTCAACACCCCCCTCACTGTATAAACCAAGTGAGATGGTTCTACTACGGTCAGACTTCAACACGACCGAGGTAAGCATAGCTATGCTAAGCAGCAGATTAGATCGAGATAACATTAGCTCGGCTTTTCCATTCACTGCTCTTACCTTGGCTTTTCTTAATGCTAACCACGGTATGTCTAGACCGGAATAACCAATACTCCGGTGCAAACCGAGATAACTTTGAGAGTGACGACCGAACTTACCGTAAGTTTTTTGGGACCGGAGTAACTTCAGATCTCTCCCGGACCGGAGTAATCTTTACACCTCTTTTGGGCCGGAGTAACTTCATGGCCTTTTTACTCAGCCCTTCGCACTGTGGCCCATAACGGCCCATTACGCAGCTCGGCCCAATTTTCATATAAATTACCCTCTCGTAAGTTGCATTCGATGAGTGGTGGATGTTTGAAGGGATATTCCCAATTGGAAGCCACTGGATGTCTTAACTTTGCAATGCTTCCACCAACTTAGGGAAATATCATATGCCTTTTTTATTTTTTATTTTTTTTAAAATTTTATTTATTATAATATATTTATTTGTAAATACTAATATCATGCATTAAAATAATAATGTTAATTTTATCTCTCACTCTACTGATTAAAGTGGTAACTTAATTTATCTGGCGACTTTTTTTCATTAAAGAAAAAAATTGACCCCCTAAAAGCCTCTCCTAATTTTTCTTATAATAACATGGTGGTGATGGATTACGCGTCAATTTTTAATTTGTCACAAACTCAACTATGTAAGACCCGACTCTCTTGCCATGTTATTGTAAATGAATTGTGAGTTATAAATTGTGGGCCTCTAACATTCTTTTTCATGAATTTAAAAGTATCATATCAATGCATTAAATTAGTATTTCAAAATTATTAAATAATTACATCAATATTTGTGTGGATGCTATTAGCAACATCGCATATAGTTTTTTTTTTATATATATATATATATAAAGTGACTAAATTGAAATTTGATAAATCTTTGGTGATCTTTGGTGATATGTTCGGTTCTACTAATTTTTCTTATAATCCTAACATATATATAAAAGGTAGGGAGGGAGGCATTTAGATCTTGTTTGGGAAGAACATTTGGGCTATTGTCATATAAGATAAAATAAATTATTTTAGCTAATTAGAACAAAATGTCACATTCAACTTATAATCATTTCATTTTTTCTCTCACAAAAATCAGAAAAGTCAAAAAGCCTATCCCAAACGAGACTAAAAAGTGTACTTTTTATCTTTTTAGATTAAAAAGTTGAGGTTGAAAATATGAATGTTTGGATTAACTTCTTGACTTTTTATGAAAAAATATGTATTAAAAAATTGTATAAATTAATGTGTAGGAAAAAATTAGTATTGGGAGTTGTGCAGCCGTAATTATTGACTTTTGGTGAATAGTGATAACTTTTTAACTTTTTGAATCTTTGGCTTCTTATTTTCTCAATGTTTTGCTTCCAGAGCAAAACACTTGAGTTTAGCCTAGTGGCCAGAGCCTCTGTATCTCACAAAAACCAACATAATAACATCTTAATCCTAATTAAAAACACAAAGCACAAGCAAGTGATGGCCAGCCTCCACCGTTTGAGAATGTATGATAAACAAAACCATTAACATTTAAATTATACATGCAAAATGTACAACAAATCAGCTTGTAAAATCAAAGCAACAACAAATTAAAGTGAATTGTGAGTAAAATTACAAAGCTGAATCTCTAAATCACAGAGCTGAACTGACAGAGATAACTAGGGTTTAGACAGCACAGAGAGCGAGAGAGAGAAAGGGGGAGAGAGAGAGAGTAGCTCACCGATCTGAATCGATTTTGAGAGAGAACTTCGAAATGGCTCGGATGAATCACCGATCTGAATCGATTTTGAGCGAGAACTTCGAACAGTGCAGAGAGGGCGAGAGAGACGGAGAGAGAGAGACCGCGAAAGTGAGAGTGAGTGAGAGCGCGAGAGTGAGATTGAGATTTTCGCTTATACTGCTTATCATATTCAAAATAAAGGTGAAACAGGAGAGAAGCGGGGGTCGAACAAAAAACCATCCAAGGCGTTTAAAAAACGTCTTTGATTCTTGAAACGGCGTCGTTTCAGTTACAGAAAAACAAGACGTTTCTAAAACGCCGTTAAATATTGGAAACAATGGCGTTTTGAAAAACGCCGTTAAAAAAACGCCGCCTAACCCCATATTTCCTGTAGTGCCCGAACTACTTTTGAAGAAACCTGTGAAGTTCTTCATTTAAATTGTTCAGGTTTAGTTCTAAAGTTCATAAATGACTTAACTTAGCAAAGGATTTTGGAAGGCCACCATCAAGTTGATTGTCACTGAGAGAGATTCCCAAAGGAAAGCATGCCTTCAAAAGAATCAGGAATTGAACCTATTAACTAGTTTTCGGAAAGGTTTGGGTCAGTAAGGCTACTACTAAAGTTAAACAACCAACCAACTGTATATTGAAAAAGATAGATCGTTATAAGAGTAAAAGAGTCCAGAAAGAGAGAAAAAAAAAAGAAAAAATTGAAAGGAAGTGAGGAATGAGTGATATTTGGAAGTCTACAGCCACACAAACTTGTCTCTTTTAGGAGAGGGGGATCATTGATAGATTGAACCCAGTCGACTGTGGATTATATTGAAATACAAGTTGAAGTTGAAGAATTATTTATTGTAATTAGAAGATGAACAACCGAAGTAAAATTCATGTGATTGAAGGTTCGAAAGTGGCAAGGCACAACATCTAGTATGAATATGATATAAATGAAAGCGAATTTTTTTAATGAAGTCTGAGTTAATGAATGACATACAGTAATAAAGGCCTCTACACATAATTTCTCTATCAACCCACACACATAAAAGTCATCCAACTCCGAACTAAGCATAAAATTAAATGAAAAGGACCCCAAACACATGGCATGTTTTTTTAGCCACTCAGAATATTGAAGTCAAAGTCAATGCTTCAGATTTTTGTATAAATTAACTACAAAATACCATAAAATATATAAGGGATAATTTTGAGTATGCATAAAAAATAAAATAATGTAAACAGATGACATACACGATGTGAATAGATAACATTTATGTGAATAGATAATAATGTGAATAGAGATCCAAGTCAAATGCCTCTTGTTTTATCTACCTACTCATATCAAGCATGACTAATATATAATAGTACTCTTAAATATATTATGTCCAAGTTGTTGACTAAATCAATATAATGATTTCAATCAAGAAAATTTAGAATCAAATAAACCAATATGTAACACCTGTATATTCATATGATGTGCACCACACGTATATTCGAAGACTTAAATTTTGAAAAATACCTTGCTTATATGTGACACAGCTTAGACAAGGATAAACCATCACAAGGCTATGAAGCATCATACTTGCTTTTTTGCTCTTCTCCTGTTCCTTCTCTCTGATCTGAATAGCATTATTGGTTGCCATGACAATGAAAGAGCTGCTCTCTTGAGTTTCAAGTCCTTCCTTAGAGACCCTTCGAATCGGTTGGCTTCGTGGCAAGGCAAAAACTGCTGCTTCTGGCATGGAATTCGCTGTTCAGACTCGAACGATGTCATCGTTGTGAATCTCACGAATCCTAATCCAGGGAGCCTCATTCTTAACTCAAACTCAAAACTAGTCTCAACTTCCAATAATGTTACATATGCTGCTCTGGAAGGTACAGTTTCTCCATCTCTCTTTACCCTTAGTCGTATTCGTTATCTTGATCTTAGCTTCAACAATTTCTTGTTTTCCAAGATACCCACTGGATTGTCCAATCTCACAGAACTCACCCACCTCAGCCTTTCCAATGCCATGTTCAAAGACACGATTACTACCCAGTTTGCAAACATTACATCACTGAGATTGCTCGATCTCTCATGTTCGTATTTAGTACCTGACACATCATCCATTTCATATAACTTGACCTCCTCAAAATCCTATGCTGGTTCTCTTTTGTCATATATCAAAAGTGGCGAGATTTCCTCCTCAAGTTTGAATTGGTTAATGGGGCTTCACAATCTTAGAGTACTAAAATTGAGTGGTGTTGATCTATCAGTGGCATCTCAGTCAAGTGAATGGGCTAAACCGATATCAATGCTTTCCAAACTGAAAATCGTTCAACTATCCGACTGTGAAATTGTTGGCAAACTCCCCATAAATGATTTTCTTAACCTCACTCAACTCTCTTCTCTCGAAATGGACTACAACTTCCTAACCTCCTCAATACCAACACAGCTAGCAAATATCACTTCTCTTTCGATCCTCGATCTCTCGAGCTCTAACTTACAGGGTTTTCTCCCTTACCTTCCCCAATTGAGAGAACTTCACATAAGCAACAACCCTGGCATCACTATTGATCTGAGTTCAATGTTCAGAGCCCCTTGGGGCAATCTAGAGATACTAGATATTGGATTAAATCATGTTAATGAATCAATTCCGACTTTCATTGCCAACATGTCTTCGTTGTTGTATTTTTCAGCAGAGAGTTGTTCAATTCATGGACCCATACCTTCTTCCTTGTACAACCTGTCAAAACTAGAATACTTAATTCTCAATTTCAATTACATTACAGGCAATCTTTCTTCATCAATCTCCAATTTACAAAGCCTTCAATACTTGTCTTTATTCCAAAATTCTCTACAAGGACACATCCCAGATTCAATATGTCAAATCTCCTCCCTACAATATCTACATTTAGCAAGCAATAAAATGACGGGGGAATTACCTGATTGCATTCGCCGGCTTACCAACCTCAGTGTTCTTAAGCTTAGTGAAAATAACATAACCGGTATTATCACTTCATTGATGTGGTTGTTCCAAAACTCCAGTCCATCTATGATTGGCCTGGGATCAAGTGGGCTAACTGTAAAAATTGGCCGATACCCATTTTCACCCAACTTTCAGCCAATCCAGCTGGACCTGAGTTCATGCAGTATAGGGGGAGGCATACCGGATTTTGTTTCAAATCTGACAAATCTTGAGTACCTAAGTTTGGCGGATAACAACCTGTCGGGGACAATACCATCTTGGCTGCTCAACCTTCCCAGGCTGGGGTACTTGGACCTTTCTTCCAACAATCTGCAAGGAGTTGTCCCACCTAATATTCGGCTTCAACAATTTTTTGGACCAACAACACTGAACTTAGCAGGAAACCACTTGGAAGGGCCTATTCCTTTCCTTCCAGAAACCATAGAAGCCGTTGATTTATCCAGGAACAATTTCACAGGTGGTATACCGATCCAAGTTGGAGGGCTTCAAAATGTCAAGTACTTATCTTTTTCAAGTAACCTGCTCTCTGGACCTATCCCCCTCTCCTTTTGTCATACAAACAATGTTCTGATGCTCATCGATCTATCGAATAACAGCCTGTCGGGGACAATCCCTGCAGGTCTAGGCAACTGTACGTCCCTCATTTCTCTCCACCTTGCTAGGAATAATCTCAGGGGAAACATCCCCAATGAACTCAAGGCTGCAACTAGTTTGATATTTTTACAACTAAATGGAAATCATTTTAGCGGTCCGTTCCCAACTTTCATTCGAGAGCTTCAAAATCTGGAAGTCCTGAATCTGGGAAATAACAAATTCGAAGGAAATATTCCACGTTTCATCGGAGATCTTCAAAAGCTCCGAATCCTTGTGTTGGAATGGAACTCGTTCAACGGGTCAATCCCAAAAGAGATCAACAATCTATGGGACTTGCAATTTATTGGCTTCTCCAACAATAAACTCTCTGGTGCCATCCCTGATAAATTGCAATGCTTTAAGATGCTGACAAGCAGGCCTAGAAGAAACATTATAGGCCGCATCATCTCATTTATGTATAGTGGTGTTGATCTAAACATTGTGATCAGGACTACCATATGAACTTGATGTGATCTTCACTGACAATAGTGGGATAGATCTTTCGTGCAATTTGTTGACAGGACTGATTCCACCTGAAATAGGCCTTCTTGAAGGCCTGTTTATGCTGAATCTTTCACGTAACAGTCTATATGGTGAAATCCCAATGAGCATAGGTAAAATGAGTGAGTTGGAGTCACTTGACCTTAGTTTCAACAATTTGAGTGGGTCGATTCCAATGGCATTGGCATCATTAGACTTTCTATCATACTTGAATCTGTCCTACAACAATTTGAGTGGTGAAATTCCAAAAGGGATGCACTTTGATACGCTGTTCGGAGATGGATCACCATATATTGGGAACAGGTTCTTATGTGGTGCTCCTGATGGTCCAAACTGCAGGAATGGTTCCTCAAGTTCAGAGACCGTTGATGCTGATGACGATGCAAGACAAAAATGGTTGTTCTATGCAGTTGTGACTATTGGCTTTGGGGTTGGGCTTTGGGGCTATTTAGCCATCATGTACTTGATGAAGGAGAAATGGAAAAAGGTGTATTGGGAGTTCATTGATAGGGTTGTGTTGAGAATTACCAGATGCATTACAAAAAACTGAAACGCAGTGAAATTTTTTTATGTAGTAGTTAAGAATCAAGTATGTACATTTGAGTTTTTTAATTAATTTATTTTTTTTTTTATAGCTGTGTAGTAAATTACAGAACTTATTTGTTTGTATGAGCTTAATTTTCAAAATTGATTAATCAAGTGTGAAAGCAACAAGAAAAAAAAAAATTTAAAAAAAATGAAGACCACAAGTTCAATGAAACAACTAGGGATCAACCTACTAGGAACCTACTAAGAATTTTTCCTAGCAAAAGTACACACGCGCGAAAAAAAATAGAGTACATTTTTATTTTGCCCAACCACTTTAGCTAGTTTGTTCTCTAATAATCCTCTCTTTTACAAGAAAAATAATACACATTATTTTTTTTAAAAAAAAAAGACATTTTTCATTGTGTGACAATTGGGCACTACAGTTCAAAGACAAATCAATGAAATTTGTCTTTAATTCAAGACATTTATTCATCAACAAACAAAAATTCAAATTTATTTATTTATTTTGCTACAGTCAAATGCCAAAAAAATTCGAAATTCAACTACATTGGATGATTTCATTAGATGCTAATGAAAACCAATCAGTGGTGGAAAGACTCTAATCAAAAAAATTAAAGGTTCAATATTTGTCAATAGGTGCCTAATTGGATGATTTCAAAGATTACATAAATACATAAGACAATCTTGAAAATCCACAAGAGTAACTAAGCTCTAAACAAGATCCTACACATACATACATCTTCTATACTACTATATTATATATCGCACACAACTCCATCAGTGTGAACTATCACACTTCTATATATCACTGATTTTATAAACTAACCCAGTCTGAGGGAATTGATTGCAACACAATACAAAATATAAAAGTAAAACCCTAGAGAGAGTCATACAAGAAAGAAAGAAAAAAAACACTGAATAAACAAACAAGTTTGTAAGATACAGATAACGCAGCGGGTAAAAAAAAACAAACCATACCTTAGGTGATAAAATCCAAAACGAAGAACCTTGTGGGTAAATCATGTGTTTCACAAACCACGAACTAAGAATACCCAGCCATAGAGTGATACCACAGTATGAGTATCACTTACACTAGTCACAATGCAAAGGCTTGATCGTTATTCTAATAGGAGAGAGTTAGAGAGAGAGAATGGAAAAAAATCATTCGTTATTGGATTCATCCCCACATCCCATATATCGTATCTGATATATAGACCAAATATCTAACCATCTATCCATATTTCCTAAGCATAGGATAGATATAAATAGATAGTGGGTTATCCTAACAAATAGGATAATCAAGAAATCAAATTCAAATTACATCAGTAATTTGAATGAGCCATGGGTCATGCCAATCAGTGTGAACTATCACACTTCTATATATCACTGATTTTATAAACTAACCCAGTCTGAGGGAATTGATTGCAACCCAATACAAAATATAAAAGTAAAACCCTAGAGAGTCATACAAGAAAGAAAGAAAAAAAACACTGAATAAACAAACAAGTTTGTAAGATACAGATAACGCAGCGGGTAAAAAAAAACAAACCATACCTTAGGTGATAAAATCCGAAACGAAGAACCTTGTGGGTAAATCATGTGTTTCACAAACCACGAACTAAGAACACCCAGCCATAGAGTGATACCACAGTATGAGTATCACCTACACTAGTCACAATGCAAAGGCTTGATCGTTATTCTAATAGGAGAGAGTTAGAGAGAGAGTATGGAAAAAATCATTCGTTATTGGATTCATCCCCACATCCCATATATCGTATTTGATATATAGACCAAATATCTAACCATCTATCCATATTTCCTAAGGATAGGATGGATATAAATAGATAGTGGGTTATCCTAACAAATAGGATAATCAGGAAATCAAATTCAAATTACATGGGTAATTTGAATGAGCCATGGGTCATGCCGCATGGGCACCCAAATCTGGGTCCAATACCCGGCCCAATTTCCAACATCTCTCACTCGCACATGAGTTGGCATGACACTGCCACATCTCTATTTCAATCTCCCAAAATATTAAACAACCCCATACTAGCCAATGAACCGTGCAACCGCTGAGAACACCTGCATGTGGGAGCTCTATACTAGAAACTCAAAATGAGCCAACATAGGGACATCAACCCAAAAAGAATAGAAATAGTGTCTCACACATCCCAGACCCATCTAATTACACCGGTCCAAAAAATATCTCTAATCCCTCAAAAGGGTATGTTTGACCCTCAACCATTCTTGCAATATATTCACACTCAATTTGCCTCTCATATAGAGCGATGTGAGTTGCCGGCAGTGAATATACAACAGTGGTGTAATACTAGATGATCTTCCATTCGCTCTCATGCCATTTAGTTTAGAATTGACCGCTTTCCAGTAATGTCCCTTAAGGCCGAATCATACATGACCGCAAGCAACATACCAAAGTAGCAAAACATCAACCTCTTACCTTATGACATAGTCAAAGGTCACAAAAGGGTACATAAGCAAAAGTTATATAAGTAATGACACGTAAGACTCACACAGTGAGGAAACAGGGATCCATTCTCTCACCTCATTACTCGGTCGCAAAGCACATGTAGTTTGAATACATGCTACGATGGAATAACTCTTACAAAGAGTGACATCATACTCAATACACCGTACAGATCTTAGTCTAGTTGTTTTCTAGCGCCTAACCTGAATTCTCTATTTGCTCGCCTTCTAGGCGCCAAATGAGATCTCACATTTGGTTAATTATAACAGGCACAACATGGAAAGTGGGTACTAACATCCATGTTTGGTCTTTAACACTACTTCATCTTGGTAGTAACCAAGGCGACATACATAGTGGATAATTTAAGCCTTTCTTGGTTTCAAATAAAAATAAATCACTAGTTTCATCCTTGTTGGCTCCCAAGCGCCAAAGGCAATTGCTTGTGTGAGTGAGCCAATCTTCCCTACTGACATCATCATCTGCTAATCATTATGACACAAACCATAATAGTATCAACATCCCATCATCTCATAATAAATAAATGATCGATTTTAAAAACACGACCACAGTCTACACAATTCTAGATTCCAAGCATAAGCCCTATCAGCACCTCTTGCAATAAGCATATACAACAGAATCCACCATGTGCACTTCACATAAAGTGGTTTAAGATCACTACTTCTTACGTAATTACCTCTCTAAATATATTTTGGTGACCAATTTGCGTTCATTCAAGATGCGCCCAACAAGCCCATTGAACCTTATAAAGGGCAAATATATATATTACCAGTAAAGCATTATATCCACAATCTAATGAGCAAGGTCAAGGTCTAAACTACTCAGCTGACCATTTACAAATGATGGCACTCATTATGCCGAATATGCCCACATAACGCAATTCAGGCTCCCACAACCAAAGGTCAAGGAATATGGGTCATCTGTTTCTCCCAAAGACAATCCGAGGGTTCACTCAATAGCTAAGGCTCTAGTTTTTACCTATAGGTAAGTCAATGAGTTTGCGATTTTGCATCTAGAATCATTCTAGGATATTCCTTATGTAAGTCATCAAATACAAACCAAGAATACTCCCAGAACAATCTCTAAGGAACATACATCCGAGCATATAAATTACATCACCCATATCCATCATGTCTAAAACAGAGGACTGCTAACCCTAGGTGGCGACAACCTTATAAATTCCTGGCTCATAATGACTAAGGAAAAACTTCTTTTGGACCATTAATCATGCCTCAGTGGTCTTCATTGATCATCGTCGGCCTATCATGGCTAAACAAAATCTAAGAACCACTATTTGGATAACTGTTTTAAGCTATAAAAAATTTATTGGGACTAGCAATCCTTTTGCGTTCCAATCTTTTCATCATAAAAACAGAAGGCAAATTCCTACGGATCTACTTATTCAATTCTCCAATGAGAAGTTGGGTCACAACGTCCACAAATCAAAGTTCTGAACTTATGTCAATCATAGCCTAAGTCGAAGTAACCTCACTCCTCTGGAGGAAGTCTGTACCTTCCTCAATGGTGCGACTTTTCGGTATCTAGCAAGCCTTATGCCTCAAAAGGAGACTATTCAAATTGCGCATAACTTTAGAACAGTTTCGTGTCATAATGGAAAGTCAACCAAATCCTAGAAATGGTTAATCCTCAAAGACTTTGTCTTAAACTACGTAACATTGATCCACTTTTCTAATAGTAGGGGACTAGAGAGCCTTCGGCATTATCCTAGGCTCTTTATCATCTTGCGAAACAATCATGAACGTTTCCCTCTCAATCACCTAGTGATGACGCGAAAAATTTTCACATTCGCCATCATGCAACTAAGAATGTAAAGAATTCTTCTCTAATGGAGTAATCCACTAGTAGGCACATTGCTCCCAGTGTCCCTAGGATATTGAAAATTTCTTTCCATTCTCAACTAAGCTATGCAAAGCGCTATACTTAAAATTCTCTATTTTATAGAGTTCCAAAACTCTATTCACATCACAATTACTAAGAAAACTTTATGTGACTTAGTTACACTCCCACAAAGCTGCTTACCTATAAGCACATGACCCGGAGGGTTTACATGACTGCATATAATAATGCGCCACATGACCCTAAGCTTTTACGAGACAACATACAATAATGTGCCATAGAAGTCTAGGTCTTAACTTCGCAATCTTATGAGAAGTAAAATAAAGATAAGCTGCTTGATGATTATAGATCACCTATAGATGGCTCTCCACTAACCTATTACTCAAAATAGAGTGTAAAACTTGATATGGAGGGCACTAAGTTAGGGATATAGGCAACAAACTAAAGTGTAATTCCCAATTAAGAAACATATTGCGCCATCATCCACCTAACATAAACCATACTTAATTCCTTATCTCTACTACACCATTGTGTTACTGAGTACTAGGAATAATCAATTTTCTAAGCATTCATTTCTCTTTACAGAGCTTTCTAAAAAAAACAATTCAAATAGATACTCACAACCTTGGTCAAAAGTA